TGCGCGTCCTGCGGCCCCGCGCTCGGGGGCTTCACCCTGCGGTAGTAGATCACGTCCTCGTCGCACTCCGGCTTCTCCGCGGCCGGCGCGGCAGGGCCGCGGCGCTCGACGGCGCCGGGCGGCACCGGCGGCGGCGGCTCCGCCGTCTCCGCGCCTCCGAGGGCCCTGGCCGCCTCGCCCTGGAGCTCGCGGCTGCGATCCGGCGTCGCGCAGGCCGTGGCGCTGCTCGAGAGCTCCTCGTCCGTGGTGGACGCCTCCTCGTCTGCCGCCGACTGCCACACCAGCCGGCGCGCCCTGTCGGACTGTGGCGGGCAGCTGCGCGGTCGGCGCTGGGAGCTCGGGGAGAATGGCTCGTGCGGGCACAGGAGGGCGCCGGCCTCGAGAGCGCAGCCGTCCTCCTCCGCCCACTCCAGGAAGGTGTTCCTGACCACGCAGCCCTTCGGGACCTGGAAGTCGATGGGCAGCCCGAGTGCCGGCGCCAACTCGTCGAGACGCTGGCCGCGCTCGGAGAAGAGGTCGACGGCCCCGAGGGTGACTTCGGCGAGCGCCGGCGACATGAGGGGCGCGATGAGCGGAAGGAGGGGGTAGGCCTGGGCAGCCACAAAACTGGCCAATATGTCTTGAGCCAGAACGGCTACGGAGCTGACTGCTTCCTTTGCTGTGGTTGCCAACTCGTTTCTGGCCATGGCGCCTCTTACATTTCGTGTGATATGACCGTTGTATGCTCCAAGCTCTAGCTGCCAGTGACCTGCTCGACTTCTCTGGCTGCGCACCCTCGCCTTTGGACCTGCCAGCATCACATCGGTACCGATCCATCTCACGGTACCACCTGACATGCCATACATACACATATACATCTCATATACATCTTTATACATATATATATGTGTATAAAGATATCGATTACGTACTAGAGCCATTGCGTGCTTCGCGAGCGCCCAAGGTTCTAACTGTCCGGGAATTTAGCGATAGCGCGAAAGAGGGGCCGTGAGCAAATTAGTGGGATCAGCACGCACTGAAGACAACACGTTCATTGCCGAATGCACTATTGAGAGAAGCGCTCCAGCTATTATCCGCCGCCGTGCCCCCTGGCACGACGCTGAGGCGTAGAAGAATGCGAAGGTCTGCCTGGTAGGTTTTTATTTTTTATGAGCCCCCCCCCCTCTCGACGCAGACTCTTGCGTGCACCACCCCTCCTTTCCGAGGCCACTTCCCTTGTGCTCGCTCGGAGATGGTGCACTTCCAGCTAGGCAGCTAATGCCGTATCCCCCAATCCACGCGACCGTGTTTTGTCGACTTCTTGTTTTTTCGCTTCCCGTAGACCTCTGAGGCCGCAGGATGGCCCCAAGATGGCCCAAGGCAGCCCAAACAGGGGCCCAAGATGGCCCCAAGACGGCACCCAAAGCGCCCAAGAGACGCCCAAGAGCGCTCCTGGAGCCTAGAGGGCTCCTAAGAGGCATTTTTTGAGCCTCCCAGGGGGGGAGGGCCTAAGTTGACGACCTCCTCTTTCTGAGCCATGGGGGCCCAGACGGCACCACGAGACCTCCCAGACCCACCCATGGGGCCCCAAGAGCCCCAAAAAGACCCCAAGAAGGTCCCAAGAAGGCACCAACAGGGCCAACAATGCCCCCAACATTGGGCCACCGAGGGGGGGGGATCTACATTTAGGACCCCCTCTTTTTGAGCCATCGGGCCCAAGATGCGACGCGTCTAAGGCAACAAGCAACGAGTGACACACGTCCAGGGCCGCAGGGCAGCAGGTTACCAACGACACGTCGGGAGGAACGGGCCACCAGCGACACGTCGCGCAGGTCTGGCGATCGTTTCTAGATGGGCTGGTGGGGACTTTTCCCGTCGCGGCCGCAAGCGGGAGCGCAGGCGGCGTTCGAAGTCAGCCCGGGCTACGAGCCAAACCAAATTACCTAAGCGCGCGAACTAGCGGCCGCCGAGAATACCGCCAAGGGACGCCGAGGAGCGACGCCGGGGACTGAATGCATATCTGCAAGAGGTGCCAGGCGTGCCAGGCGGCTGAAGCAACCAATCCAAGGGCGAGACCACCGGGAAAGCAAACGAAGTGTACCTTGTCGCGCCAGGCGCCAGAGGTAAACGAGCCACCCGAGCAAAGCACGGCATAGCGTGGGGCTGAACAAGCAGCCCAGCGTATCTGTGTCGCATGCCAACAGTGGCAAGCTCAGGTGGTTGAACAAAAAGGCTAAACCACTCATGAGCAAGTCCACGTGGAGGTGCATCTCACCATTGCAAGGCGGCAGCTGCAAACAGGGCCACGCGGTGGCAGTGTCTGGGGGCCAGGGGCCAGGCACATGCGAGCATGCACGCTGGAGCTGGTCGACGCGCAAGTCACCGGGACGCCAGGGTAACCTCAGCAGGCTCAAAGGAGCCAGCACGGACACCAACAGACGCCAGGGACTGAGGGCGAAAGCCCGGGAGCCGCAACCAGGCTGTGGCAGGCGGCACGGCGGCGGTGGCCGGGGAGGCCAGACGGCGCCAAGAGGGGCGGCGCAGCAAGCAGCTGAAGGCTGAGAATTCCCCAGACCAAGTGCTAGCGGCGCGGCATGCGTGAGTCGATTGACGTCACGAAGGGGGGGGCCAGGGGCTGGTGGACATACTTTTTTCGTTAGCTGCAGGCGAAGGCGCCGGCGGCGTCAAAGATCAACCCGGGCTACGGGCGAAGCCTAATTACCCAGCGGACGCACTCACGGCTGCCGAGGCTGCCGCCGAGGGAGGCTGAGGGCGCTGGGGGCTGAGGGTTAACTGGTGGGGATACGCGACGTGTCAAGAATTGTATCCGAACCCTGGGATCTGGGTGTGGTAGTTCCAGAACGCTCATCGACTGTTCCCGCCGAGAACACATGCACACGTCCTCCTCGCCAAGAAGATGCACCCGTGATCAAGGCGTCACTAGAGTCGACCGCGCTGGGGGCGTTTTCGCCCGGCTCTGGACCCCAGGAGCATCACAGATTGATCTGGCTCGAAGAATGCTGCAAAGAGGTGGGGTCTAGGGCTCCTGGTCGTCATTGCTCGCGATAGTCTATTTTTTCCGCAACGTAGGATCTCAGGGAATGACAACATGCAGAGCAATCGGCGCATCCGTCGATCGAGCTGCTGCCTGCAAGAGTGCATGCCGAATGCTCTCGCCAAAGCTGCTCGAGGGGTAACCGACGGGCACGAAGGCTCTCGCGACAGCTGCACGTGGGGCAACTGATGAGCCGATTGTCAGGGCGACTGCATAGCTCGCGGCAGCCAGAAGCAGCATCCGACATCGGCAACGGAGCTAAAGAGTCGGCACCCAGGGCTGGGTACGCGGCCGCTCCCCTCCAAGCGCAGCCGCATCTCCGCACGGCAGGGCCCCACACTGCCATTCGATGGGCCGCGCACTCCGCCCATGCCAACCCGACTCTGGGCGTGGATGGGGCGGCGGAGGAGTGGAGGCGGCGCGGAACTCGGCGGTTCGAAGATGGGGTCCTGAGGGATGGGGTCCTGAGCACGAGGTGCCTCAAACAATGTAGATTCACCCTTGGATCCATTCGCGCCCTCGTGCGACGTTCTTGGGGTCGTCGCTGCAGCCGACGTCGCCGTCGCGGCTGTCGTCGACGTCGTCGCCGACGTCTTCGTCTTCGCCTTCGTCTTCGTCTGCGCTGTGGTGGTGGTGGTTAGGGGGCCACATGCGAACCCTACCCCTACCCCCCACGACTTCTGAGGGGGAGGGTGGGGTTCACTTCGCTCGGGAGCTCCCGAACGAAATGAACCCCACACCCTCCCCCTCAGAAATCGTGGGGGGTAGGGGTAGGGTTCGCATGTGGCCCCCTAGCAGTGGTCGTGAGGGTGGTCGTCATCTTTCGTTCGCGCCCTCGCGCCCCACCATCCTGGCTGCCGCGTGGTCGCCGCCCCACCCCTCAGCACCCCACCTCTGAACCGGCGAGGCTCCGCTGCCGCGCCCTCGCGGCAAGTGGCGCGCCGGAGAGCACCGGCGGCGCCCCCGGTGGCAGCGCCGGCCTCGTGCCGCAGGGAGCGCGGGCTGCTCCTCGGGGCCGCCCTGGAACCCGTCCTTCTTTGGGGGGCCACACGCGAACCCTACCCCTACCCCCCACGATTTCTGAGGGCGAGCGAAGTGAACCCCACCCTCCCCCTCAGAAGTCGTGGGGGGTATGGGGCACGGTTCGCATGTGGCCCCCTCCGTTCTCGACGGCGCCCTCGGCTGGAAAACGGCGCTCCCTCGTCAAGACGGGGCGCCGTGGCCCTCGCGGCCCTCCTCCTCGGGGCCGTCCTCGGGCCGCGCGAGGTCCCCGCGCGGCCGGGGCAGGGCGAACCAGAAGCCCTGGCGCAGCTCGCGCTGCCGGAAGGCGCAGCGCTCCGCGCGGCAGAGGCCCAGGCCGGCCAGGCCGTGCTTCACGAGGAGCACGGGGATGCTGACGGTGATCCTGCGCTCGTGTTTGTGTGTGTCTGTGTCTGTGTCTGTGTCTGTGTCTGTGTCTGTGTCTGTGTCTGTGTCCGTGTGTGTGTGTGTGTGTTCGGCTCTGTGTTTTGTGCTGGCTTCCTGGCTGCTGTCGCCGCTGCTCTCTTGGCTTCTTGCTCTTTCTCCTGCCGCGGCCACGCACGCACCGACGAGACGGGCGCTTCTCGTACATCCGCCGATGCTGCTGCATAAACGAAAGACGCTGCAGGAACGACGAGGAACGGCGACGAGGACGAGGACGACGAGGAGGATGAGGGCACCTGAGCCAGGAAAGGTGCATTTAGTTGTCAATGCTCTGTGGCCTTGTAGTTTGTTCCCCTGCTGGCTCAGGTTGGATGCTGGCGGTGATCCTGTGCGAGCCGGTGAGCCTCTGCAGGTCGTCGCTCGCCTTGTTGTACTCCTCGCTCAGGATGCCGATGTACAGATTCATCATGACAACCCCGTACAGCAGTGCAAAGAAGAGCGAGAAAAACGGAAGGTCGTTGGACAGCCTCCACGAGCGGCGAACGCATCCACATTCGCGCCTTCGCGGGCTGGACTCCAGGGCGCCATCCCGCGGGTACGCGGTCGCACGGGTGCGTTCCGCGCGGGGCATCCACGAGAAAACGCCACGTATCCGAGGGGTCGTGGCCCATGGGCCCGGCCCGCGAGGCCGCGAATACGGATATGTGGTTCGCCCATAAAGCCTGACGTCACCGTCCACGTCCTCCAGGGGCACCTGTGTGAGATATCCCGTGGAGTCCGTTCTGTTATAGGAGGGTTTCCACTGCGTGCCCTGGATCATATCTTCGCTGAAGTCCCCCATGAGGGTCATCTTCTCCACGATGTAGAGCGCAGATGCTAAGTCGTTGGATAGATTGCCCCTGCTCGCAGGGCTCAGCCACAGCCCAGGGATCTCTACAAAGGTCAAGCCGTGCCTCGGCAGCGAGACGAAGGCGAAGAGCGTGCCGAGCATCGAGAGCACGAGGAAGAACAGGAACCTCCCCGAGGCCCGGCTCGTCAGGGCCTTCCAGGCCGGCAGCACGGAGTCCTGGAACCAGGGGAGGGTCATCAGCCGAGCCTCCAGCTGCATGGACTTGACGACGATCAGGGCGGCCAGCCACAGAGGATGGTCGCGCACGAACGACGCCGTGCCCTGCGCGCTCCGCCACCGCGCCTCCTCGGCACGCCTGCAGCCGTGCTGGGCAGCCTGCGCGCCGTCTTCTTTTTTTTTTTTTTTTGCAGCCTGCGCGCCGTCTGGTGGGATCTCTGCAGCGCCCTCTGGGGCCAGGCCTCTCACCCCCGCCCCTGCGCCGCGGGCGTCCTCGGGAAGTCGCCCCCCTGGCCTTGACGTCCGACGCCTTCCGTCGGGCCCAGGGCGGCTCCAAGACCGCCGGGCGGTGTGCCGACGAGGCCGCCATCGGACCCAGGTCCAGCCACAGATGGCCCGGAGAGCTCCGAGGCGGCCCAAGGCGTCTCCCAAAGGAGACAGAGGAAACCCTCAAGGGGAACACATTCGCCGTCATTTGCTTGCCATACGTGTTCAAAGGATTTGAGCATGCTCACCTCTGCGGGCCCGAGGCATCACAGACACCAAACGTCTTGCTGCGTAAGCCGCCAGAGACACCAGCTCGGAACACCGAGGTGCGTCAGGAAGCTGTCACACTCACGCACACACACATGGACACAAGCAAACACACATACTCAAACAACACACACACACACACCGCACTTGGAACATCGATTTGCGCCAGGAAGCTATCACAGACATGCATGTCAGCTTGGGACGCCGATTAGATTCAATAAACGACCACAAACACCAAACTGATCACATCTCTGCATCAGTAAACCGTCAGGGACACCAGCTCGGGACACCATCTTGCGTCAGGAAGCCGTCACAAACACCAAACTTGGGGCACCAATTTGCGCCAGAAAATCGTCAGAGACACCAGCTCGCACTTGCGCCAACAACGGGAACACGCACACACCGAACTTGGGATATCGATGTGCGTCAATAGACCGCAACCCGTAAGGCGCCCAATACCGCTACAATACGGCTTCCAAGAGGGCCTCAGGACAGCCCAACAGGGCCTCAAGACGGCCCTAGGGGCCCCCAAGACGGCCCAGGACGGCCCAAGAGGCCTGCAAGAGAGCTCGACGAGGGGCCAAAGAGGGGGAATTCGAACCAGCCTGGGATCCTTTCCCCAAGATGGCCCCAAGACCTCCAACATGGTCCTGAGAGGCCCTCCAGAGGCCCTCCAGAGGCCTCCGGGAAGCTCCAAGAGGCCCCCAGACGCTCTGAAGCGACTCCCGAAGGCTTCCAAGACGGCCCCAAGAGGCCCTCAAGAAGCCCCAGACACGCCTCCAATCTGAGCCTCCATGATGCCTTCAAGAGGCAGGAGGGAGGATGGAATAGGATGGATGAGCGATTAGGAAGGAGAGGATAAGAGGGCTTCGGACAAGGATGCTGTGTTCAAGACCCGCTCAAGTTCAGCGCCATGCCTGACCTGGACCGGATCGTAACCTCACCCTCCCTCAGGCTTCGATGTTGCACTGGCTGAGTGGCACCGATGTTACCATTTCCCGCGTCGTCTGCCTCGGTTGGTTGTCTCGCGGATGGGAACGCGTTAGGAAGAGAAAAATGAGGGGGAGATCGAGTTGAAGGCCCGCGCCAATTCAGAAGCTGGGAGGATGGGTGATTGAGACAGGATGATGAGAAAGAGGCTGCGGACACAGGAGAGGGGAAGGAGGTGAAGATCAGCACCCGCTCCAATTCCAATCTTGAGCGGGGGACCGTTTTCTCGTGGGAAATGACGGAGGGGGTGGGTGGAGTTTAATACCCGCGACAGTCCAGGAGGAGGGGGGAGAAAGAGGAGGAATGCGACACGACTACGAAAAAGAGCATGCGGACACGAGTCAGCAGACAAGAAGAGGGCGTCTAATACTGGCACTAGCTCGGAGAGTGTACTGAACTGGAGCGGGCCTTACACACAGCCTCAACCTCAGATAGAAGCGCCCAAGAGGTCTCCAAGATGCGCTCAAGAGGGAGGAGGGGAGGGACTGATGAGGATAAGAAGGAAGGAGACGAAATAAGCGAAGAAGACGACGACAGAGCTGAGAACCAGGAGGACAACTCAATGCTGGAACGAATCTTAAGCTCAAATTGTGTTATTGTTGCGCTGCTGCGCTGGCATGGAAGCGAGATTTGCCGCAGGCAGCTGGATGACCATAGACAAGGACGCGCTGAACAACACGAGCTCCAAGAGCCAACTGAAAATAAGGAATGGCTGAAACACTGGGCGTAAGTGCCCGAACACATGTTTGCACAACCAGATCTGGGCCAGCATCACAAACAATTCACAAGAATTTAGAGCGACAAGACATCGCGGTGGCATCATCCCAATCCGCGCGATCTTACCATGATGGTTCACGCGGCTGTGGAGGCCGATCCACATCAGCAGCATAATGGTCAGAACATCTATCGCTCGGCGGCAGAAATACAGCCACTTCGCCTCCCTCCAGCAGACCTCGACCATGGCCTGCGCGAGCGGGGTGCCGAACACATCTGGATCCGTCGAGTCGTCGAGCGCAAACAGTAGCCGCAGAAACGAGACCTCGTCGAAGCAGAGGCCGCACCAGTAGATGTCCACCTTGGTCTTCTGCGGCGTGGCGCCCCCGAACCCCAGCCGCCCGCCCGAGGCCGCGCCCTTGCCGAACTTGGGCGCGACGGCCTCAAGCGGAGCCGCGGGGCCCTCGGGCCTCGCAGGGGCACAAAAAAAAGCAGCACCCGCACGACTTCTCGAGGACCCGCGCGGGCTTCTTGAGGGGCAACGACATTGGGGGGGCACTGGCACGAGGAGGGGATGCATCGGCATGGAATCGGCGATGCGTCGCCGATGGGTCGACGACAGGCCCTCGACAGTTGAAGGGGCCCTGGGACACAAATAAAGACACACACAGATAACACGATTCCCCATGTGTTCCCATCTTTCCTGGGCTCTTGTCTTCCCCCCCACGTCCCAAATGTTCCCCATACTTTCGGGGGAATCGACGATTCATTGTGTCTGTGTGTTTTTCCCCTCCAGAACAGTGAACCCGCGAAGGATTGCAACAAAAACGAAGGATTGCAAAAAAAACCCAAATGTTCGAAGGATTGCAAAAAAACCCGAAGGATTGCAAAAAAACCCGAGGGTTTTTTTTTGCAATCCGACGAAGGATTGCAATACTTCCCAAATGTTCCCATACTTTCGGGGGACTCGACGATTCATTGTGTCTGTGTGTGTTTTTTCCCCTCCAGAACAGCGAGCCCGCACCTTCCCGGGCGGGCCGGGGGGCCCCCCCCTCATCGGCGAGTCCGTGGGCGATGGTGGGCCGATGCGCCCCCCCCCCTATGCCCAGGTCGGGCGTGTCCCCCTACAGGGGGGATCTTCGAGGAAAAATGAGGAATACCCCCAAAAATACTCCAACATGGCAAAAAAAAAACTATTTTTTAAGATTCCTCCTGTGGAAAAACATTGCTACTATTTTCGATGAAAAATAAGGAATACCCCAAAAATACTCCAGCAGGGCAAACAAAAAAAAAACTCCAAAGAGGGTCCCCAGACTATTTTTCTTTTGCTGTTTTTGAAGCTTCCTCCTGTGGAGGCACAAGCCCGACTTGACCCTGTGCCTATCCCCCCCCATCGTTGCCCCCGATTTCTTAGAGCTGCGATGCGCCTCGCGCCGCTCCGGGCGCGCTCCGGGCGCGCCAGGGAGGCGGGCTTCCCAGCGCCGATCCGGGAGAAACCCCCGCGGACCTTCGAGCGCTGATGCCTCACGCCGCTTCTTCGACCTCGACCTCTGCTTCGCCTTCCACTCTGGCGTCCTCCACTGCTGCACCCCCTCCCAGTCCAGCTGGCGGAGCGGGCCGCCGGCGATGCGGAGAGCCATCAGCCTCTGCACCTTCCGGCCCCTGACCATATGCTTGTTCGTGACCCTCACGCACATGGCCCGGACCACCCTGCTGAACTCGTCCCCAAGAACCCGGCTCAGCCTATCGAACTTCGTCTCCGAGTTCCTTGGGCTCGCGGCGCGCCGCGCCCGCCGGCTGCGCTCGCTCACGGCGATGTCTCCGAGGACCTCCCCCCACATCTTCTCGAGCTTGTGGAAGGAGTCCCAGTCCAGCCTCTCGTGGCTGTTCTCGAACCGCCTCTGGTTCTCCTCGAGGAAGAAAAACTTGATTAACATACATGTTCCACGGGCCGCGCGGATTTCTTGGACCTGCGATGAACCCCTCTCCCTGGCGCGCTGCCAGGGGGTCCCAGCGCCGAACCAAGACATCTGTGGGGAGCTCCGAAAATTCGTGTTCCTGGCAATTTTTCCTGTTCGTTCTGCGGCAACTCATCCGAGCCCCGCCTACCGTCCGGCTGGCTCTTGCGAATCGACGCTGGTCCACGCCAGTCGACGCGAATCAGCGCGTGTCGACGCTAATCGACGCCATAATCGACGCCACATCTGCACTATCCCATCGGCCACCGGACGCCAGTCGACGCGAATGCGCTCCAGAGACGGCATGGCGAGGGCGCGCAGGGCTCCCACGCTTTGCTACCGAAGGAACTCCTCCATCCTGCCAACCAGCTCCATGGTCTCCGCCTCCTCGCTGTCCTCGCTGCCCGTGGACCCATCGGAGTCCGCGGCGCACTGCGGCGCCAGCTCCGGCAGCACGACCCGCCTGGAGGGCCAGCTGGAGCAGCGGCGGCCCATCCCGATCCAGACATCCAACGCGTCGAAAAGGCCAAAATGCAGATAATGATGTCTCCGTTTCGACTCCGGCAGGCGGCCCCAGCATTGAATCGAGAAGCCGGATCGGGTCGACCAGAGCACCGAACCGGCGGAGATCGGCAGAAGTCGGCTGCCGAATCGAAATCGGCAAAAGTCGGCAGGCCGAGTCGAACCGAGTCGGAAACCGGCTGGACGGAGGCCAGATCGGAATCGAAATCGGGATCGAAATGGTTGGCGTCGATTGTCGTCGTAAGTTCCCCGACGTCGTCGAGCGTCGTCGCAATCGTCCGACCGACCGTCGTCCGACGTCGTTGCACTCGTCGTCGCCAGTCGTCGTCGTGGGTCGCCGAAGGTTGCCCGGCGTCGTCGAAGCCCGGCCGGCCTGGCCCCGCAGGGGGTTTCGCCAAACCCCCCCCCCCAGGGTGGGTGGGCCGCACGGGGGAGGTTCGCCAACCCCCCCCCCCTCCCCGGGGGGAGAGCCGGGGGATCCGCCAAACCCACCCCTGTGGTGTCGCACGGGGGGAGGAGGAGGAGGAGAAGGAGGAGGAGGAGGAGGAGGAGGAGGAGGAGGAGGAGAGATGGAGGAGGAGGAGGAGGAGATGGAGGAGAAGGGAGTGGAGGGGTGAGGAGAAAGGAGGATGGAGGAGGAAGGAGGAGGAGGGAAGGAGGAGGAGGAGAAGAGAAGGAGGAGGTGGGGGAGGGAGAGGGGGAGGAGGGAGTGTTTCGCACGGGGGCGTTCGCCAAACCACCCCGGGGAGAGTTTCGCACGGGCGCGCCTGCAAGACGTGTCTAGAAGTAGTAGATGCGTTTAGATGCGATCGCGCCCTGGTGCAGGCGAGAAGCCCATCGTATCTATTTTCCTGCAACGACGCCAATATATATATATATATATATATACACACACACACACTATTTTTAGATGCGCGCCCCCGGTCTGCGCGGGAGCGCCGCCGTATCTAAACGTATCTACTTCTGAATATATCTAAACATTTGGGACCGTGCCTATTTTCTTCCAGAAAACATATCTAGTCGAATCTATTTTTCAAAGAGTGACAGTGCCGCGCCATCTCAATTCTTCCTAATTTGTGTCAGAACGCATGCTGTTGGCTGTGCTCTCAGGGGGGGCTTGCGGAGGAAGACGACGGCTGTTCAGGAAGCACGTTCGTCCCTGGAGGAGTGGGAGGGGCACGAAACCTGATACGTACCATGGTTTTCGAATACCCTCCTCCCTCAGGCGAGGCCTCCCTGGAGGAGTGGGAGGGGCACGAAACCTGATACATGACATGGTTTTGGAACACCCTCCTCGCTCAGGCGGGGCCTCCCTGGAGTAGTGGGAGGGGCATGCAACCTGATGAATCACATAATTAGATGTTGAAAACCCTCCTCGCTCAGGCGGACCTCCCTGGAGGAGCGGGCGGGGCACGAAACATGAGACATGGTCTTCGACTGCCCTCCTCGCTCGGGCGGGGCCTCCCTGGAGGAGTGGGAGGGGCACTAAACCTGCTAACTAATACGGTTTCGAATGCCCCCCTTGCTCAGGCGGGGCCTCCCTGGAGGAGCGGGAGGGGCACGAAACCTGATCGGAGGTTGGGGGGTGAGATCGCAGCGGAACGGAGACCCCCAACCAGGAAATCGTTTCGTTTCGTTCGTGTCGTGCGTGCGGGCGAGGCGAAGCTGCGTGGGCGCGCGGGAAGAATGAACTGCTGTTGCTAGGGCGAAGCCGAAACAAATTATTATCCCCCTCCCGCCCGTCCAACGGTGGCCCGCGGTGTCCCGCGGTGTCCCGTGGTGTCCCGTGGTGTTCGCCGATGCTAGGGCGAAGTCAAAACAAATGATTCTCCCCCTCCCGCCCGTTCCGCGGTGTCCCGCGGTGTCCCGTGGTGTCCCGTGGTGTCCCGCCGTTGCCAGGGCGAAGTCAAGACAAATGATTTTCCCCCTCCCGCCCGTCCGGCGGTGGCTCGCGGTGTCGCGTGGTGTCCCGTGATGTCCGCCGTTGCTAGGACGAAGTCAAGACAAATGATTCTCCCCCGCCCTCCCGTCCGTCCGTCCGTCTGGCGGTGGCTTGCGGTGTCCCGCGGTGTCCCGTGGTGTCCTGTGGTGACCCGTGGCGTCCCGTGGTGTCCCGTTGAGTGAGATCGATAGTGAGATCGATAATCAAATCGATAGTGAGATGGATACTGAGATCGATGTGGTGCCCCGAGGTGTCCCGTGGTGTCCCAAAAAATGAGACCCATAGTGAGATCGATTGTGAAATCGACAAGTGTCCCGCGGTGTCCTGTGGTGTCCAGTTGAGTGAGATCGACAGAAAGATCGATAGTGAGATCGATACTGAGATCGATGTGGTGCCCCGTGGTGTCCTATGGTGTCCCGTTGAGTGAGATCGATAATGAGATCGCTAGTGAGATCGACAAGTGTCCCGTGGTGTCCCGTTGAGTGAGATAGATAGTGAGATCGATAATGGGACTGATAGTGGGATCGATGTGGTGTCCCAAGGTGTCCGGTGGTGTCCCGTGGTAGCCCGTTAAGTAAGATCGATAGTGAGATCGATCGTGAGACCGATCGTGAGATCGAAAGGTGTCCCGCGGTGTCCCGTGGTGTCACGTGGTGGCCCGTGATGTCCCATGGTGTCCCGTTGAATGAGATCGATAATAATATCGATACTGAGATCGACAAGTGTCCCGTGGTGTCTCGTGGTGTCCCGTGGTGTCCCGTTGAGTGAAATCGATCGTGAGATCGATTGAGTCAGATGTTGGTTCCCCCCCCTCTCCCCCCACAACCTTGTTATCACCCGAAGGGTGGTCGTATAGGTCGGAAGCTGGGGGGTGAGATCGCAGTGGAACGGAGACCCCCAACCGGGAAATCGTTTCGTTTCGTTCGTGTCGTGCGTGCGGGCGAGGCGAAGCTGCGTGGGCGCGCGAGAGGGATGAACCCGCCGCTGCTAGGGCGAAGTCGAAACAAATGATCCTCCCCCTCCCGCCCGTCCGGCGGTGGCACGCAGTGTCCCGCGGTGTCCCGTGGTGTCCCGTAGTGTCCCGTGGTGTCCCACCGTTGCTAAGGCGAAGTCGAAACAAATTATTCTCCCCCTCCCGCCCGTCCGGCGGTGGCCCCAGGTGTCCCGCGGTGTCCCGTGTGGTGTCCCGCAATGTCCCGCGGTGTCCCGTGGTGTCCCGCCGTGGCTGGGGCGAAGTCAAGACAAATGATTTTCCCCCTCCCGCCCGTCCGGCGGTGGTTCGCGGGGTCCCGCGGTGTCCCGTGGTGTCCCGCGGTGTCCCGTGGTGTCCCGTGGTGTCCCATGGTGCTCCGTTGAGTGAGATCGATAGTGATATCGATACTGAGATCCATGTGGCGCCCCGAAGTGTCCCATGGTGTCCCTCGGTGTCCCAAAAAGTGGAATCGATAGCGAGATCGACAAGTGTCCCGTGGTGTCCCGTTGAGTGAGATCGACAGTGAGATCGATTGTGAGATCGATGTGGCGCCCCGAGGTATCCCGCGGTGTCCGGTGGTGTCCCGTGGTAGCCCGCGAGTGGGACGCCGGCGGCAGGCCCCGCAGGCCCTGCGCCAGCCGGCACCGGCTGCAGCAGGCCGCGAAAACCGCTCCCGCAGATCTGCCACGACAGCCTGCGCGGCCGGGGGCGCAGCGGACGCCAGCGTTGCGCAGGCCGCGTCGGCCCCGCGGCGGGCACGCCCGGCCCAGGGCCACCCGCGGACCCAGCGGCGCCGCCCGCGGCCGCATCGGCCTGCGCAGCTGCCAGATGCTGCTGCGCGGCCGCCTCCTCGGCCTCGGCCTGCGCGGCCTGCGCCTGCATGTCCGCCGCGGTTTGCGCGGTTTGATCGGCTTCCTCCCGGGCGTCGTTGGCGGCCTGACGCGCCCTCAAAGCCGCTGCGGCGCGGCTGCGCAAAGTGTCCACCGCCGACTGGAGTCTGCGCTCGAGCGTTTGGGCGGCGCGTTCCGCCTCCACCAGCGCCGTCTCCTCCGCCTCCCACTGCGCCACCTGCCTGGCGAACTCCGGGAAGTCCCTCACCGCGACACTGCGGGCGCGCACGGCTTCCAGGCGCTCCCCAACTACTGGCTCGGCCATCGCCGCATCGCCGCGGCCCCCGCAGCCGCCGACTCGCCACCTGCAGCCCCAGTCGCCCTGGAGCCCAGCCGCAGGCAGGGCCCAAGGCGCCCTCGTGACGGGCCTGTTCACCCGGCCCGCGCGCACCGCCCGCACCGAGGGCGCGCCCGAGCGGGGAGCAGGGCGGCCGCGCCCGCGGCAGGCCGCACAGCACGCCCGACCCCAACTGCCGGCCACCCCGCAGGGACAGCTCCACGTGGGCTGGCGGGGGCCGATCAGCCGCTCGGCTGCGCCGCCATCTCGCTGCCCCCCGTGCGACTCCTGCTGCTGCTGCTGCTGCTGCTGCTGCTGCCTCTGCTGCCGCGGCCGCTGCCGGCTGCCAGGGCGCCCCCCAGCAGTCGACCCAGCCGTCCCCGCGCCGAGCAGCGCCCGCAGCGCCGCCGTCGCCTCCTGGTCGGAGCGGCATGGTCCTGCACGGGACGCCTTCGGCCCGCGCGCCCAGCGGAGGGCCTCTGGCGGCTGTGGTGGTGTTGCTGCAGCAGGTCGGCCGCCGGGCCCAGCCGCACCAGCACGTGCGCCTGCCCGCGCGCCCGCCCACGCCGACGGTGCCAAGCCAGATCGTGGGCCGCCGTCGCGGCCTCGCCTGGGCCCAGCCCCAGCCCCCCAGCGCAGCGCGCCCGCCCCGCGCGCGCGCTGGCAAGAGAGCCTGGGCTGAACATTGAGCCACAATGGCCACGGAATCGAGCTTCGAGGGCTGAGCCCTGCAGTGCACGAAAAGGACCGCCGAGGGCCGACATCGAGAAGAATTAGCCGGCTGACAAAATCTTAATGTGTGGGGCCATACATCCGATAACTTGATTTTTGGCCCATACGCGGCCACCAAAAGTCCCGACCCCTTCCCCCACATTAACGGTCATAGTTTAGTTGACGGTCCCGCGGGCCTGGCGAGGTCCTGAAGACGCCGAGAAAGGAGAAACACCTCCGTCCTGATTTTCTCAAAACGCTGGAGGTCTGGCCCTCGACCTGGACCTTCCGCGCCTTCCGCGCGCAAGTTGCCGCCGCGATACGGCCGCGGCGGCCCTGCGGGGGAAGGCCCCGGAAACTTTCGGGGAAGGCCCAGAAAACTTTTCGGGAAGCCCGAGGCCTCCCGAACCCTCTGAGGAGGCCCGCCCCTTCTCACTTACTCCTGGTCTCGCCGCCGTGGTTGGGAGGTCTGGGGAGGATCGCCGCCGCCGTCTCGACCGTGACCACCCCCCAATTGGGCGCGGCCTGACCGACCCCTAGCAAACCATCCCCTTCCGTGACGTCACCCTCGCCTTTCGAGCTCCCCTCCGACCGCAGTCACACGTCTTGGGGCGAAGCACCCGGGGGGCTGGGGCGAAGCATGGGGGGCGCCAGTGAAGTGGATGGCTTGCTATACGTTGTTTAGGCCGCCCCTGAGCCCCATCCCCCCCCAGTAGTCGTCGTCGTCGTCGTCGTCGTCGTCGTCGTCGTCGTCGTCGTCGTCGTCGTCGTCGTCGTCGTCGTCGTCGTCGTCGTCGTCGTCGTCGTCGTCGTCGTCGTCGTCGTGGTCGTCGTCGTCGTCGTCGTCGTCGTCGTCGTCGTCGTCGTCGTGGTCGTCGTCGTCGTCGTCGTCGTCGTCGTCGTCGTCGTCGTCGGCGTCCCCCGCGATCCTCCGCGGCGCGCCGACCGCGGGGCCGCCCGCCCGCGGCGAGGGCAGGCGGGGCATGGCGCGCCCGCCCTGCAGAGGAGAGGCAGCCGCTCGGCGGCACGCACCCTCCGCGCGGGGGGTGCCCCCGCTGCGGCCTCCACGGCGGCCGCCGCCGCGGCCGCGGCGGCGGCCGCGGCAGCGCGGCAGCTGCCGCGAGGGAAGGTGCGGAAGGTGCAGCTCGAGGGCTTCGCAGTGGCTTTCGCTGTCGTTTTGGCCTCGTGTGCCTGCTTTTGTCTTCTGCCCGCTCGTGCTGCAGGGCGACGCCGAAGCGAAGACGGCCCCCGGAGTCGCCAATCACAACTCAGGTCGACCCCTGTCGCCCCCCCCAAAACAGAGCGGCGAACCCACCCGCACCCGCGCCCTCGCGGTCTGGATTCGGGGGGGCGATCCCGAGGATACCGCGGGTCCGTGTCGTGTCGACTCCTGCGCTGGTTCCCGACACCGCGGGGCTCGCTCAGCCTCGAACGACCGGCCGCTTCCGAAACGACAGATCGTTCAATATTTCGACCGCTCCTGGGCCCCGCGCAGCGTGCAACGGTGGACGCCGGCGGGGTCGCCGCTGGTCGACACGACGCGAACCTGCCCTACGCAGTCGTCCGCCCCGCGCAGGGCCGTCGGGGCACGCGCGAAAAAGTGCCACGCATAGCTGCTGGGTCGCGGCCCCGGGGTCCGGCCGGCAAGGCAGCGGATGCGGCCACAGTGCGGTGTCCGCCCACGACCCCGTGAGGTCTCGTTGCCACAGTGCTTTCGCAGCGAGCGAGTGTGCACTGCTTCGGGCCCTGGGGCCCCTCGCAGCGGTCGGGCTCGAAACAAATATGCCGCAGAGAGGTGTGGTCTATGTGAGGCTCTGGTCGTCATGGTGCGCGAGGCTGCAACTGTGTGCAACGTCGGATCAGAGGGACGACCATGTCGCGGTATCGTGTCAACGCCGATCTTTGTCATGGTCCATGCCAGCCGTCGCCAAGTCGCGAGGAGTGCCGGCGAATCTGATGGCCAGGATGAACGAAGAGCAAGATCGACGTCGACGTTTCGCGTTCAGTCTTGGTCATGGTCGTGTTCTTTCCCCCCAGCGAGAGCGCAGAGATTGGGGGGACCTGCGGGAAGGAAAACAGGGCCCGTCAGAGAAGAAAAAGGCACCGATACCGCTGATCGTCCTGGAGAGTTTTCGTCGCTACGGCTCGCTCGACTTTCTCGATGTTAAGTTTTTCGGCACGTCGGGCACCCAGGCCGCCTGCCATGAGTTGTTCACAGCGTCGACCCCCAGAAGTCTCGACCCATTCCGCAGGACCGGTGTTTCATCCCGAGTAGTTTGCTCGACCGTCCTGGGGCCTGGTGAGGGCCCCAGGGGCCCGAAAACGGAGAAGAACCTCTCCGTCTCGATATCTCCCATGCGCTGGAGGTCTGGGGAAGTTCAGGCTTTCTTGGCGGCGAGCCGGGTGCAGGAAGCGAGAAGGGGCGGGCCCTCTCAAAAGGCACGGCAGTCCCCTGGCCTTCTGAAAAGGCTCCTAAGCCTTCCACGAGGACATGGAGCACCTCCCAGAAGGCGCGATCGCTTCTGAGAAGCCACGCCGCCTTCTGACAAGGCCTTCTGCTTCCCACTTCCCCCCCTCGCTCGCTGCCGACACTGGCTCTTGGGCAATCACTCGGGCCCGCGGCTTGAGCAGGGACCGACCGTCCCGGCATTCCTATAGTTCTACCATGAAATGGTCCTAGAACCCCAACATGTTCTGAGAACGAAAACCATGTTCTCAGAACATAGACCCGATGTGTTAAGACAGGACAAGCTCGACCAGAAATGTTCTGAGAACATCTCGTGGAAGCCACAAGAGGTTCGGAGAACATTGTTTGGTAGGGCTCTAGGCGAGCCAGGACGCTTCGCCACTGCTTGACGGCGGCGGGCGCTCGGGGGCGATCCGGGCACCCCTCCAAAACGGCCGCGGCGAGGCGCGGCTGCCAGCAGGCATACCGAGGCTGGAGCCGGGGCTGAACCTCCCTCGTTTCCGCTTTCCCTCGTTTTCGTTATGTTTTCGTTGTCTCGTTTCCTTTTTTGTTTTTCCTCGTGTTCGTTTTCGTTTCGTTTTTCCTCGTTCTGTTTTCGTTTTCGTTTTTCGTCTTCGTTCTGTTTTCGCTCTCCCTCGTTTTGCCTTCAAGCCGCCTTCTCCCGCAAAACGGCATCGAAACGAAAACGGCCCAAGAAACCGCCAAAACACGAACCACGGCTCAACCTAAACTGTGTTTTGCGTCTTCGCTCTGTTTTCGCTCTCCCTCGTTTTGCCTTCAAGCCGCATTCTCCCGCCAAACGGCATCGAAGCGAGAACGGCCCACGAAGGCGCCCAAACGCCGTGCTTAGGGCCCCAGCCCTGGCGGGAGCAGCGCCGAGGACCGACGAGCACACACACACACACACACACCCCGAGCCCGCCCCTCGCAGCGCCGACCATAAGGACGCCCGAAGTGGGTACGGGAAAAATGGGCACAATGCCCAACAGCAAATGTTGTCCCAGACCAACAGCGGCTGCTGCTGGGCAGGCGGCCTTCTGCCTCGAATGGACACAGGCCGCGGCGGCGTGGACAGCGAATCCGGTTCAAAAGGAACCCGAACTGCTGCTGGGCATTGTACCCATTCTTCCCGTACCCATTTCCCAGAGATCCGATGTCGTGATCTTTTCAATGCGCGGTCCCCGGAAGCCTCGATCCACTCCCCAGGACCGGTTCTTCATCCCGAGCCGTTTTTTGACGGTCCCGAGGCCCGGCGAGGGCCCCCAGGGGCCGAAATTGGCGAAAAACCTCCGCCTTGTATTTTTTCAAGACGTTGGATCGCTTTTATTTTTTTGTGGGCAATAACTGTGCAACGGCACGATGAAACTGTCACGGAATACCTCTTGGAGACGTTGGATCTCTGGGTTCGGGCGTCATGAGAACACCGCCTGGGCCTGCCGCGCCGGGCCCTCCCCCCCGCGAGGGGCCCCGGCCGGCGGGCGGCGCCCCCGGAAACGGCGGAGGGAGGCCGCCGCCCCCGCGGGGGGCGGGCGGAGGGGGGCCAGCGGCGAGGCGCGGAGAGAGGAGGAGGAGGAGGAGGAGGAGGAGGAGGAGGAGGAGGAGGAGGAGGAGGAGGAGGAGGAGGAGGAGGAGGAGGGAGGAGGAGGAGGAGGAGGAGGAGGAGGAGGAGGAGGAGAGGAGGAGGAGGAGGAGGAGGAGGAGGAGGAGGAGGAGGAGGAGGAGGAGGAGGAGGAGGAGGAGGAGGAGGAGAGGAGGAGGAGGAGGGGAGGAGGAGGAGGAGGAGGAGGAGGAGGAGGAGGAGGAGGAGGAGGAGGAGGAGGGAGGAGGAGGAGGAGGAGGAGGAGGAGGAGGAGGAGGAGGAGGGGGAGGAGGGGGAGGAGGAGGAGGAGGAGGAGGAGGAGGAGGAGGAGGAGGTGGAGGAGGAGGAGGAGGAGGAGGAAAAGGGGGACGAGGACGTGGAGGAGGAGGAGGAGGAGGAGGAGGAGGAGGTATGGTATGGTATGGGTTTGCGCTAAACGCGGGGTCAAGCCCCAATTCAGAATGGCTCGGCGTCGGAGTCGCCCTCCTCAGGGCTGTCCGCGCTCCGCTGCAGGGCCGAGCGGCCGAGGTCGCGGACCAGTTCGAGCTCCCCCTCCCACAGCCCAAACGCCCTCAGAACCTCGGCCCGCCCCCCATGATCAGCCCGCCCCCATCCGCCACTGGCCCCGACGCTTGGGGCCGCGGGCTGTGGCTCTGGTGGCAGGCTCAGCTCGGCCTCGGCTAGGCTCGAGCGGGTCGCTGGCAGCACTCCATGCGGCGGCTTCCCGACCTTCAGCGAGCGCACATTGGCGCGGTACGAGGGGAACTCTCCTTTCTTGATCCTCCGCAGCTGGTCCACTCCTCCAGCTTTGGCCTTCTCGGGGCACCACCCCCTTAGACCTGAAGATAACTTGCCGTCCGAGGAAACGGTGCCACAGCGGCAACAGAATACGACAGAAGAAACGTGGGCGGTGCGACTGAGCACATCAGCCTCCAGCAGGTTGTGGCCTTGCCACCAAAAACTGGCGTCTGCGTACTCTTCCCACCCGTCGCCCACCCCGTACGACGACCCCACCTCCCCACCACGGCTGCACGCCTGGGGCACAGGCTCGGGGTCCTCAGGGGTCTCAGGGTCCTCCTCGGCAGTAGAGCCCCGAGACCTCCAGTACGCTTCCATCAAATCTTCGTGGTCCTGGCCATTGGACTCTACGTGCACACAAGCCGCCCATCGGGCGGCTTCTTGGGCTAAAAATAAAAAGCCTTGCCACAACTGAAACTGCTCCTCGCCCACGCCGTGCTCCGCAGCACCGAGCTTCGCAAACCTGTCGGCGTGGGCGTTCCCTCTGTACTCCCACTCAGTGGTAACACCCGCATCTACCTGGGCTCTGGTGCAGTGGGCCTTGGTTTTAAAAACTTGGAAGTCCCCTTCTGACTGAGAACGCACCCCAGAACGGACTCCAGAGCTGGGCCCGACCACAACTGCTTTGGGATCCAGCGCCCGCGCCGCCACGGAGAGCCCCAACAGTGCCTGCACAGTCGATGAAGACATCGAAGGGCGCCATAGCACAAACGCGCAGCATCGAGACGGCGTAATCCTCCGCGTCTCTAGAACTCTGCTTAGGGCACATACTACATGGGACGGGCCCGTAGGCCGCCGAAACTACATCTCCAAACCTATCTACCTGCACGATGGCCCAGCCCGCTCGGGCCAAAAACGGAGCCGAGGCCCATAAGGCCGAACCGTCTAAGAACAGCGTGCCACCCAGGAGCCCTGACTCAGGTCTGTTGTGCCACCAGATGGTCTCTTGGGCCTCGGTCACGACGGGGAAGACCAACTCTGGCGACGGGAACAGGCCTCTCGCAAACCTCTCCCCCTCGTCGTACCCCCATTCGCGGACCCTGCGAGCCCTCGTCCTGTGGAAGTCGTCAACCCATTCACGCCTGAGCCCTGCATGCTTCGGGCACTCGTATGCCCTGTGCCACAAGGACCCTTCGGGATCACCACATACAAGACACCTCGCTGAGCCAACAAGTCCATGGTGGTGAAGCCGACTTTGTGGCCAGTGTCCTCCAGAGACCAAGGATCTCAACGTCCTCTGAAACCTCTTCGTCCAGAATCCCTTGGTTCGGTGCAGGAGCCCCTCAAGTCCTGCCCAAAATATCGGCATATTCCACCTGGCTTTGGGCTCACGACAAAAAAGCGCTTGGCGATCAGAGGCTCGCCTGGCTCCTGCAACTGCTAGCTCCTGAACGAGCGCTGGAGGTAAAACACGAAGGTCTCGTGCTTCCTGCCGATCCGTGACCATGCACGCACCTGACCGCAAACTCCAGCCTATCCTGCGAAGACTGAGCACGGCTACTTCAGCTGGGGCTGCTGCTTGCCTCCAAGGTGATTGGACTCCTTCGAGACGGCCCAGGGCTCCTTCAAGACACCGTTCCAAAACAGGAAGCTTCGGAAACGACTCCCAGACCGCCGCCGCCCATTGGAACACAACCATCCCGATGTTCAACAGCAGCGGGTCCACTCGGACCCCTTCAGCATAGCTCAAGAGACGGAGCCCGACCGTGGAGCCCTTGGGGACCTTCCCGAGACTTCCAGCAGCTCCCAATCGAAGACGATGCAGTTGGGTCGAAGGAATCCCCATGATGCTGGACCCCCATAGAGCCGACGCCGTAGGGCCTCCACGTTGAATGAACCCCGCGTTGGCCCCCGCCTCCCTGAGCTTCTTAATCTTAATCGTCCTCCCTCTGGCCTTGTCCCACCTGTTCCGAGTGATCTGAACCCTCCGTAGGGACCCCATCACCGCGTCGGTGCCGAGGTTCCTTGCATGGTCCACCTTGCTTTCCTTCGGGAGGTCCCACAGGGGCTGCAAGGCCTCATTCAAATCCGAGTCGCTAGTCATGTACTTCGACTTTTCCGAGACGGGGAGCTCGAGCTCCGAGAAACTGGACAACAGGGACTGCACACCTGCGGCGAGCTGCGGTGCAATGAGCTGTTGCGGACCAACAATCTGCAGCGCGATATCGTCAATCACGTTTCGGATGCACAACTGCGGCCGGCCAGACTGCGCGGCCGAGAGCGGCGATAACAAAAGCAACTTCGTAAGCGTGGTAGCTGCTAAGCACCCTGCAATAACTGCCCCATTACCTTGCACCTTCCTAGATACCGCCCCTCCATAGTGCAGCATCCTATCCCCTGCATAAATCACACACAGCCCTCGCAGGAGCTTCAAATTGAAACCATGCTGGCACGCCGCACGATACAAGTCCATATGGTCGATGTGCTCATAGAACTTCTTAAGGTCCAGAAGCACCGTCGCCGCCGAGGTCCCCAGGACTTTCCCGAAATGGGCCAGCATATTGTGGACCCATCCTGCTCGCTCGCAGGTAGACGTGGCCCCGACGCCCCAGAAGAAGGCCTGCTCGTGGGCCTGTTCCCAGGCACGGCAGATGTTTTGACGGCACTTCGACCAGATCTTGGTGAACATGCACAATAATCCTATCGGGCGTACTCCACCATCTGGCTTGTCGAGGAAGATGATATTCGTCAAAAACTCTGCAATCACACAGGGTCGATCTTCGAACGAGCGAAGAACGTCGATAACACGCAATTGATACTCCTCTGGAAGAACCAAGATCTGGCGGGGATGGAAGGAGTCCCACCCAAGACCAGCCCCTTCCCCATACGAGTTACACACACGCCTCAACTGCTCCAGAGAGATAGGTGGCAATTCTTGTCCCAACACATCCCAATGAGCTGGGTGATTTTTGCTGAGCCTGCCTTCTTTGTGCCAGAGGGGAAGCCACTGATCTAGAAGCTGGGGGAGCGCAAGCTCACCGTTGACTGGTAAGCGGCCGTGGTCGTCTACGACACTGAACGGGACCGTCCTGTCTGCGCGAGAGACCCTGGAATAAGCATGCGCTGCCTTCCCTCCCCGCTGCACTGACGACTTAGCCCACTCCTTCCACTCCGATAGGGACTCCTTGGCGTCCGACTTTCGCAGGCCTTCTACATACTCTCGTAACTGCCCGAACAGCCCTTCTAACTCATCTCTGAGCCCCATGGATATCCCTTCAACTAGGCTGACCAAAAATCGGACATTCGCGCCTTCGTCTGGCGCCTCCAGCGCCGAGATCATCCCGAACAGGGCGGCACACCATTCATGAAAAAGACCGCGAGCTCTGGCGCCTAGCATATCTTGGCCAACTGCAGCTGCTCGACGAGCCAACGCCTCGAAGGACATCCAACTGGTGGTCCGCTTTGAATATCTTCTCCTAGACTCTCGGTCCCAAACCGTCTCGAGGGGAATCGTTGTGACCTTAGGGCCCCCAGCTCTTCCACACGTCCTGGCCACGCTAGCACTGTCTAGGTCGTGGAACTGCACGAGCCAGCCCTCAGCCTGGGTGAACCATTCCCTGACCATG